GGCCGGCAAGAGCTACAACAGCTGTCCCTCATTGAGCTGCTTGGAAGAACTTGGAGACAAAATCTGTCAATCCGTAGCTTCGTGGGGCAAAGGTTGTATAAGCGTGCGAGATCAAGTGGCCCCGGCCTCGGCACGATCCTGCAAAGAGAGGAGATTCCGCTATGACCAGCCGCATGCATGTCTTGGTGGTTGTCTCTGCCATCTGGGACGTGGGAAAGGGCGCAGAGAGGCAACGGTTTGAGATTTGGTGAGTTACTGTCCGAAATAGACACAGGCTTCGTCAAGGGCACTCGGCATGAAATGGAACTTCAGGTGCAGACTTCAAGCTGCTGAGCATTGCCATGGACAGTGTATTGCTCAGCATCAGTCAGTGCATCCAAAAACGGCATCACCTTTAAAGAAGTCTGTTCACAAGCTCGTCGCAGTATCAGCCGTACTCGTAGATCCTTGATATCGCTGCTAGACCTGAGCTTGGCTCATCAAGGCGACAATCCAAAGACTGGGCTGCTGGAGTTGCTGGCACCGACGTGATTTCATGGAAGAAAAGGGTGTCCATCGGCATAGGAAGATATAGTGACTCTGGTCCGAACATGTGCTGAGCCTTGGGCAGGAAGGTTCTCTGAGACCAGAAAAAGATGAAAAAGGCCATGCAAGTTCTTGGCCACCTGTTTCATCGCCACTGTCCCAGCCCCCCGAAACCCTCATGAAGCACACAGAGATGGAGCGCTGTTCTGAATGCACAGGATGACATGCATCAACAGATTGCACAAACACTCTGCTGTGTGCAAGTTCCCGGCGTTCATGCCTTGTACGAAGGGTTTTGGATTCAGTTGTGGGTTGTCACAACCCCAGAGCCAGGGGTGTAGCCAAGATACGGAAAGCAAAGGGCAACCATGACGGAAGCTCAGGAATGAGGAGCCACGACATACCAACCCCACAGAACCACGACAAGCCAACCCACACAAACCCGACAATGCCCGTGTATCGCAACTCTGTGTGCGGCAGTTTCGTTGAAAATCACCCCAAACTCGCAACCTGCAGGGTGTTAAATAGAATAACTCTGTTCATTTGTAGCGTTATTTTGTTTTTCGTAGGTTAAGTGTGGTTAGTTCGGGGCGGGTATATGCGGTTATGGTAGGACAGGGACTTGGGTGTGGCACTGGTTTTTATATCTTGAACAATGATTCCAATAGTTCATTATCTTTATCAACCTTTTGCAATTCGACTGGGGTGCCGATATTTTGCGAGGGTTGCCTTGTAAAGATTATTCGATAGCTTGTTTTTAGGGTTTTATGGGCTCTAATTATACTAGAGGGCACCCGTCGGTTTGCAGCTTGCGGCAATTCTTGTGGCAACTACGTAGGATTAGGGTTGGTCTTTCGTGTCCTGTGACGGCTTTGCTTTGATCGATCCTTCCTGACAGGTCCTCCAGGTCCTCCCTGGAGGAGGCGAACACGCCACAAAGCACAAAGATCTCGCAGCAAACCAGAGTGTGCGATTTAGGGTTTAGGGTTTAGTGTTTAGGTTACTCGACAACTTCTTGGTAGCAACTCTTGACAAGTTTTCCTAGAAGCCTCATCTGGCGGGTTGGGACAAAGTGTTCCCAGGTATTTTCGGAACTGCAAAACTTTAATGGCTTCTCTAGCAAGCGGCAAGCGCCAAAATTTTGTTCAGCTGCCAGTTCTCTCACCTCGGTTGGCCATGTTTGCTGCTCAATGCCAGATGTTCGGCGTAGCAGAAGACTGCAGCCCGGCCGGCACCACGATGTCTAGCATAGCAGGTCAAGAAGTCTTGAGCGGATCGTTCATGTGAAGAAATCTTACACGTGGCAGCAGCTTCCAGGTCCAACGAGTTAGTACACCCCAACTGGTCCGTGGTCTAAGTACCCCTCCCTTGATGGGTCTTAAACGGTTCGAATCCTTTGAATTCGGTGTGCACGCTTTGGGCTGCGCCAGCAACTCTGACCATGAACCAAATGTATGAGAAGCACTAAATTCTGTCGCCCGCATACTGCGCTACGTCATCCTCTTCGTCGCTATGGGGCTGGCAATCGATGCCACAGCTCAGCGACTTCTGCAGCAGCTTTTACATGCGGAGCCCAACGAGGCCTGGTTGGATCCTCCTTTGCTGTGTTTCGCTAAATCAGTTGTGTATAGGGTTTAGAGTTTGGTGTTTGGTGTATAAGGTTTGGGGTTTAAGTTAAGGTTTAAGGTTTAGGCCCCTATTCCTATGTTCAGGGGTTCCCAAGAACGGACCGAATTTTTTGGAACTGATGGGACCCTAAACCTGGAGACTTCCCGTTCCAAGCCCTCAACCCTAACGTTTCTCAACGCCAAAAGCTCCACAACCGGATGCTTGTCGGTATGCCCCCCGAAAAAATCGTGCGACAAGAACGCACGAAAGCTGCGAGGCCCCAACAAAGCTTCGAGCTCATATGGGTTTCGGGGCTTAAAGTTCAGGACTCTAAGGTCAAGGAGCCAGCGACCCGTTGCCCTCACCCAGGCCTCTGGCACTTCCCGCGCGCCTTTGTCCTGCGAAGAGGCGGTCCCTGATTGTCAATGGCCCTTGAAACGGGTCGAAAGGAAGCGATAGGAAGCGCTGAAATCAAAAAGGAGAGACGGGAGAGAGGCCTAAGGCCTAAGTCGACATCTGAGGGTTCCGAGGCCTAAAGCCCCGTGTGCAAGTGAAGGTCGCCTTGACAGACGCGGTGAAGCCACCAGAGGAGCTGCTGGGAATTCCTTCGCAGTACCCTAAGCCGTAAACCCTAAACCCTAAACACCCTTTATAAGAGAACCTTTTAGCTGCTAAAAGGAATTTTAGCACAGTGAAACAGAAATCCACCCGCATTCCTGTCACTCGAAGCCCAGACCCTGAGCCCAAATGCCCGCAAAAGCGCTCTGAGCGAATAAACAGATGGGTCGTTTAGGGTTTAGGGTTTTTTTGGTTTAGGGTTGGGGGCTCAAAAATTCCGGGTTAAGGTTTGGCCGTTACAGGGCGGGGTGTAATTATCGGCAAAATTTGTGCTGCATTTTGACTACTGGAGTGTCTATGTTCTCTCGGGTCGGAAGCCGAGTGGCCAGGAAAACCCGCCACCAGGGGAGCCATCGAAAGAGGCAGGGATGCGCAAGCGACTGCTGCGTGTACCTTCCACACTTTCTCAACTGGAGCCCTATGATCAGAGACGGCTTCCAAGGCGTAAGCCGGAAGAGCCCTCAGTCTAAGTTCTGCAAACATAACGCAAACTCTAGAAGCCTACGTCAGAGCTGTCGGATCTTGGTTTGCAGGATTCAAGAGGATGCTTGGGTTTAGGCTTTTGGAGATATTGGGATATGGCCGGTGGGCGTAGACTCCATGCACACTTCCAGAACCCAAGGCCTTATCCCAACATCCCAAAGCCCAATCCAATATCGAGTGACTGGCATGAGAAGCCCAGAGCCCAGAATCTGCGCATGGTTCTTCCATGTTCTCCCAAAGCCCACCATCAAACCCAAGAAGCGGGTCTCTGCAAATCCTCCCGAAGGCTGGGTAGCCACGGGTAGCCAAGTGAGGGTTTTCGGGTTTTCCCTTATTCGACTGACAACATACGCACCTGAGGTGTCCCATGACGTGATGCCGGCTGCCACGCCTGGAGCTTAGACAATGCTGTTGTGTTATCTACAGTGACTATATAGTGGTTGTGGCAGCCGGAACTTCTGTGATTGGCCCAGGCTGGACACTTTGTTCCAGAAGGTCGCAAGCCTGGAGCAAAAGATATGCAAGCTCCTAGGTCAGATCCTTGCCAGCACTACAGACAGTCAAAGCCCGAAGTCAAAGCAAATTTTTCTGATGTTTGATATCAAGGGGGGAAAAAACAAGCCGGAGTCGCAAAACACAGCGTCACCTTGCGATTGCTGCCAGGGCTTCCGAGCCTCCGAGACCCAGCGCGTGGGCTAACAGTAGAAGAACGCCGGTGGTTTAGGGTTTAGGGTGCAGGGTTTAGGGTTTAGGGTTTAGCCTATCTTCTTCGCAAGGCTTGTGTAACAGCCATTGGGAGAAACCACTGATTGCTATGCCTGCTTATTGGCAATGTTGGGCATATCCAGAACCATAGTAGGTCTATTTGCAGGAAGGCTTCTTCTGCACAGGGGTCTTGGGAGTTTGTTTTTTAAGATCAACTCAGAGATTGTGGAATTGTGGAGCCACCGCCTCCCCGCCCCCTCGTGAAATCTGCAGTTGTGTCACTTCCTTGGTCTCCGCTCATCGGAGAAGGGAGGATGCCTCAGAACATTGAGCAGAATCATTGGCCTTTCGTGTTCCGGAAGACCTAGGTATTTTGTCGCACCTGCGACAAGTGCGAAGAAACAGAGCAAGGTAAAGAGAAAGCGCTTTCTCACATCTTGTTCCACAAGTCCAAAGACTGCCTGGAAGAAGCAGAAGGTCCAGGAGATGTTGTCTCCAAGGCCCGTTGCTCAGCTTATTGACGGACAACGCACATGCACATGAAGGCCGCATGCTATGAGCTGAAAATTAGCTACCTCCAAAGTCCGGCCCACGATAGCTGCTGGAAGGCGGTCGTGTAACGAGGTGCATTGAAGATGAGCATGTGCGCCGGAATCTCGACTGCGAGTTCTTTCATGTGGGCGATGAGGAGGCCGTGGATGACCAGCAGGAGAGCTATAGGGCGCTTGTTTGTTCTTGGGAGGGGTGGAGGAGGGGTGGGGGGGAGGGAGGACATCCAGCGTTCTTAGGAGCGCAGCGCTCTCTTGTGACGAGAGATCACTTTTAGCACTTTTTCTCGTCTACCCACGAGAGAAGGACCACCAGAAGGACCACCAAGATGTTTGGGGCCTTGACTGGGGCGCCTTTGAACCGGCGCCTTGCTGCTGACAAAAATCGTAGTCATCGTAGTTGTGTGGTCCTTCTTTGGACACTTTCGAGAGATTTCGCCTCGCGTTCAGTTCACCTTAGTATTTCTTCATGGCCTGGGCTTCAGGGTCTCAATATCTTTGGAAAGGAAACTTCATTCCCAGATATCTCCCAACATAGCGCCCAAGTGCGGACCGTCCAGAAGGTTGTGCCTGTCGGCATCCCTGGCGCAAAGCTGAGGTACACGTGCTCTCTGACCCTTGCAATTCCAGTGATTCCAGCGCCACAGCCAACAAGGCCCAGCAAGACGTGCCATAAACTCAGTCCTGACCAAAGCTCTTTTTCAAGTTGGGTATTCTTGCCAGCAGCTAAGGCAGAGTTCGCTTGGTGACGGTGGTTTGGAGGCTCTTTGGGAGTTTATGGCTTAGGGATGTTTAGGTGTCAGGGCTTCGGGCGCGCAAGCCTTTCTGGGATTGAGGACGCAATCTCTTCGCAATCCTTGCCACGGAGTTTCAGTGCGGAGGTCAGGCCGTAGCTTGGGCATGCGCGTGTAAAGCAGACTCCTTGCATGGTGTGGTGATGACGGTTTCGCTCATCTTTGCAGGAGACCTGCGCGACGGCATGTGCCGAATGCCCACTTGCCGCTGGGACCAAATCGTAACATGCACAGCAACATATAGCTATGAGCTGCCTGGGGAGGCCTGCTGAAAATCGCAAGTCATAATAAGCGTCCATGCGACTGTAGAAACCGGCAGCCATTCTTGTTTTCGGGTTCGTTCCGAGGCTGGCCCTGGGGAATGGGATCCGTATAAGCTCCTCTTGCACCTCGGACTGCTGGTGTGAGCGGCATTCTCGCAGATTCTGAATTTGCAAACTATAGAAGTTCTTTGACGGACACGCCTGAGGCCTGGCTTGCTGCCGTACCTTGATGCGCCTCGCTTCAGAGGCAAGCTGCGGGATACGGTTTGATCAATGCCTGTGTACTTCTCAGGTGGATGATTTGAAGAACTGGCGCCAGGCCTCCCAGCACACCAGGAGCCCGAAGGCGTGGATCTTACCATTGACCTTTTATACTGAAAGATTTAGTTGTCGCTGCACCAAAGCATAGCTGCGTAGCTGGACTGGATCGTCAGCGCGCCGCCTGGAGAGCCCGGCTCGTTGATGTGAGCGTGGATGCTAGGTCCTGCTAGAGCACGTGGCCGAGATAGGCAGCATGGCGAGGCCTGAGAGAAGTATGTTTTCAGCCACTTCACTTGGTAGTGTTTCCACCTCACACAGTGGTGCAGTTTGTCGTGAGTCTGTAAGAAGGTGCTTTTTGATTCTAGTGCGGAGGTCTGAGGCAGTCCTGACTTATTGGGACTCCTGCAAGCTGTTCGTCCGGTACCGCTTCTCTGCCTTCGGAGCGGATGCCGAGCGAAGGAAGCACTTCGATTGCCTCCTTGGCCTGACAAACAAGATATATATATATATATAGACATATACATATATATATATATATGTGTGTGTGTGTGTGTGTGTAAATGTATATGTGTGTATTGTGACAGTATACATATATATATATATATGTTTATATGTTTATATATATACACACATGCGTATGTAGATATTAGCCTCCTCAAAGGCCCTGTCCCCTCCCCCTTGCCTGCGTGCACATGGCCTGGCAGTCCAGTCACTAACGTGTGCATGTCCGATGCTCAACAAGTCACTCAGTCCGATGCTCAGGGCTCTGGCATAGCAGTCTACTCCAATTCACTGGACTCCAATGCTGACTGGTGGTGAGGTGAGAATGGCATGGGCGGGGGGTGGTCAAGCGGGGTGAGGGCAGGAACCGAGGAAGACAATCCCCAGCCCCAAACCGGAAAAAGAGATTGAATTGATGAGAGGGGAGTCACCGAAATCCCTAACTCGCGACTCGTGGGGGCCCCAGCCACCAGCTGATCATTAGCTGCTCACTAGGGTTTAGGGTTTAGGGATTTCGGTTTCGTGTCAGTTGCTGGCATCTGGGAGTCAGGGGTGTCCCTGAGGGAATCTCTGACGGCTCACGGGCCGAAGCCGAGGCGAATATATAACATAGTTTGCAGACCTGCCAAATGCGAATGTCTTTCATCTCAGGCTGTCGGTGGTGCATGGAGGTGCTGGTCAAAAAAACTCATTTTGCTGCAGCTGACGTCCATCGGATCGTTGGGAAGAACATTCGGGACTTACTTCAGCACTGCCGCCACGCGGATGCGTCCTTATGCAAAGCTGCCCACATAACTCTTGAGAACGCCATGTTTAAAGGGTGCTTCCCGTTTGCACGGCAGCTGATCGCAGAAGGCATGCTGGGCTTGATGGAAGAATTTCTTTCGGACCCCACCGACATCTGCGACCTGACCTTAACGCAGGTGCTGAACTGCGCGAGCCATTTCAGAACTGTTCTGCGTTCACTTTCCAAACTTCAGCGGCAACAGTGGGCGTCCCTGTTGGTCAGAACTCTACACCTTCGGCCCAAGCAGCTCCAACAGAAACTAGTTGAGGACCTGCAGATCCTTTGGCGAACTGATGATGATCCCAGCCGAACCTTCGCCGAAGAAGAGCGGCAGCTCCGGATATTCTACAAGACCGTGAGCTCTGATTTGGAGCCGAAACTGGCGGAGCTCATTTGGCAATGCTGAAGTGAGTGGGTTTCGCCGAGTCAAATGCGCGACAAAGAGAAGCGCGCTTTGAAACTGGTTCGCAGAGCATCCCTCCGTTCAGGGTACCTTGAACAGCAAAATGTTCATTTAGATACTGCATTGCTGCATGTTCAAGGGAGTTCGAAGTCGTTTTACACTGGTCGGGAGGCACGAGAACATCTGCGCACCTCGGCGTGTCTTGTTGCCATGCACGTAGTATCTACTCATGCAAGCTTCCGTGTGTTTTTCTAATCTGAGACCTCGGTAGCTGATTTCATAGAAGGGCTATATCACAGGAAGTAAACATGCAGGATTGCAGGTACAAGGAGTGCTCGGCAGTTGTTTAGGCTTCGAACGTATGTTTGTATAGTAAATCCTCACCAGTCACCATCGTATACTATCTACAGCAAACGATAACCTCTTTGCAAACATCCCTGCCCATTCACCGGCACCGCAATGTCTTGCTTCTTCTTCAAGTTCTACCATGACTGCCGCTGCTATCTCAGGTACTACTTGTTACGAGGCATGTATCGAACTTACCCTCAACACACATGAATTGGAAGCCAAAGAGCAAGGCACAAGCATGGAACCAGCAACCAAAGGCTGCAAGAAGGCTTCTTCACTTGATCCTGAAGACTCATGATGGTACGATTTCTTTCACTTCTGGATCTAGGATATAATCATGAAGGGCTCGATGCTAGGAATAGCCAAGATGAACAACAAAACATGCATGAGTGATCAACCGAATGAATGAATGCCCTAAAAGACCAACAACTAAATACAGAACAAGTTTCCGCCATGAGCGCGCAGAGCGTTGGTGCTCTCGACTGCCACTTTGGCAAGAAGATACCATAGGTGTACAAAGTTAAAACAACAAACAAGAGGATGTAGCCCAGTCTGGTCGACATTCGCCCGTTGTGGTTCAATTGCTACAGAACATTACTGTATCCCATGATTCCGTTTACTGCAACTTTTATTGCATATCACAGGCCGGTTCTACTGTGTTGGAGCAGCTCTGAATTGTGCGATGGCCTTTCGTTGCATGGGATGCTTTGGAAAGTCCCAGGATGTTGCTTGTTGCCCTTGTGTGCCGATGGTGACAGTATTTAATACTAACCATGCCGTTTTTGTATTATTGTCCAATGTGAGAACACGCGTGATTGCATGCAAGGTGGCACTGGAAGACGCTGGCACCCGGACCGGGTATGGCCGAAGCAGTGGAACGACCAGAGTCTTGGCTGGGATTTAGGGTTTAGGGTGTGAGGTGTTGGGCCTGCTCTCTCTCTCTCTCTCTCTCTCTCTCTCTCTCTCTCTCTCTCTTTCTGGACTCGATAATGCAAATGGGGCTGTTCTAAATGTATGACGCCACAAATGTCCTGTTTAAGAAGGTGGCAACGCGCGGGCAATGCGCGGACCGGACGGGGGCGTGAAATTGCGCGTGTTGCGATGCTGCGCGACGGACTAATTAGGGGGTGCAAGATCGGGGGGCCTGACGGTTGCGTGATGGGACGTGACAGCGCAGTGACGTTCGTGCGGCGTGGCCGGTGCGTGATGGAGTGTAAAGGCCAAGCCAAGAGCGAGGGCACGAGATCGGAGGCGGCCGGCATGCAGGGGGCTTTTTGTAGCTGCACGTGATGGAGTGCAAAAACCGTGTGCGTGACGGGGTACGTGTGACGTTGCGTGACGCGTGCATGCAGTGTATGAGATTTTTTGCAGGGGGGGGGGGGGGGGGGGGGGTGGATATGCGTGGATTACGGCGGGGAAAGGCGGGGACGGGATCGGGGGCATGACGAGCGGGGGTCGATTCGGCAGTTTGTCTTTTGCTTCCTAGTGTGACCTTTTGTTTAATTTTATATATAACAAGGTCGCATTGAGGTCAATACAACATAGGTGGAATTTTCGACCCCAACCTCAACTGAACTTTGAGTCATGCGATTTAGATCCTGGTTTCCAGACGCTTTTCGGCCGAGGCAAATCATAGTTGCATGAGCGCAAAACCCAAAGCGATGGATTGAACTGTAGAACCTCAAAGCGACACCGCTCAGGCCGGCGGGTGAGGCGACGCAGCTGTAATCTTGGCAATCGCTACTGTTGGCCTGAGCTTCAGTTCGGGATTGGGGCTTCTAGTTAACCATGACAGGAGCGCCCTGATCACGCTACGGTATTCTGGGCAGTCACTACTCAAGCAAATGAATTAAATGAATGGCTCTGACATAGAACATCGACATGCGCGCTAAGCCCTCCACCACTTGCGCGTGCTTTGTGTACTGATGTTGTCAAAAGGTTTGTCAACCATGGTTATAATCGTTCATTTTTTTTCTTTGGGCTGCTTGCTTGTGTGTTCGTGCCCTCAAGCCTAACCATGACCCCAAGCAGTGCCGGAAAGTATCCCGAAATGGTTCTAATTCATGCTAGCACACGTAATCACAAGTCCAAAGCCATGAACCCTGTGCGTGTTCAATGCAGCTTTTTACACACTAAACTCTTCCCCCCCCCCCCCCCCCCCCCAGCATGCGAACCCCTCACCCAGCCCCAAACCAAACCTAACCCCGAAATCCGAGGACATCAATGAGACGAAGGGTGTATCATATGCCAGCCCCAGACCCAAAGTGCTTCTAAGCCTTCACCCCGAGTACCCCTTTAGCAAATCCCCGCGCGCCCTCAACCCTACAACTTGAACCCTGCACTACACGAACCCCTAACCCGTCCTTACCCCAAACACTAAAGATCTTTATTAGCCCTGTCCGACCGTCCTCTGGAGGAAGGTCTTCCTACTCTGCTTCGAGGCCGCGGCTCAGGTGAAGGCTGCGGCAGGCGGGGTCACAGCGGTGCAGACATGGGAATACCGAAAAACAGCCTGATGCTGCATCATTATTTTGGCCCAGCTGGTGCTTTGCCAATGGACACGATGCACACAAACTTGGGTGCAGGGCTGCCTCCGCCACGACAAATGAAGAGGCGGACATGAAACCAGTGACGAGTGCAGGCATTGCGGGAAGCCAGCTAGTCGAACATGCGTCCTACACTTTCCGCAATCCCCCCCCCCCCCAAGAACGGGCATTCAAAGCAAAGAAAGGGTTGCCCACGCGTCCTGTTCTGCTGGGGCTGTGGTAGGTCTTGGACGCCTTCCAAGCCTTAAACGCCTAACCCCTAAACACCTAAACCCCTAAAACCCTAAACTCCTAAGCACCTAAACCCCTTGCGAGAGCAATGGCAGCTTGCTACGATCGGTCTTGACTCACACACCACAAATGATTACAATTGGCTTAAGAACCCTCCAAAAAAAGATAACAATCCCCATATTACCTTTACAGGGAAACTATTCTTGGGTGTTCTTAGGCAAATAATAAACCACAGCTCAGCAGACTAGGAAGCACGAGCTCTTCCATGTCAGCTCGCTCCTGCTTCGAGCAGTACAGGGTTTAGGGTTTAGGGATTAGGGTTCACGGTTTAGGGTTTACAGGGTTGTGTATCTGCAGCACTGACAAGCCATCAGACTTTTGCACCCATCTCTGAACTCCTAAACCCTTAACCCCCATACGGCCCAAGCCCTAAACTGCCTAAACCCTAAAAATCGACTCTTATTGGAGGCTGCAGCGGCCTCCTCTGCGGTCGCAGCGGCCCAGGACATGTTGTGCGCTTGTTCGGGTTTGGGGTTTGGGGTTTGGGAGGCTTAGGGTTGTAGGGGTTTAGGGTTTTAGATGGGGGTTTAGGGTTGTTAGGGTTTGGGGTTTAAGGTTTAGGGTCTTCCACAGTAGAAGTGTGAGTTGCCAAGCTGCCAGGGGCTGAAATGTATGCCTTCGCGTGCCAAGACCGCAGCAGATGTTGAGCCCCAGTGTTTGGGGTGGGTTAGGTTTTAATGCTTTAGGGTCTAGGCTAGGGGTTTCAGGGATTTCAGTAAAAGACTTCATGCAGCCGGAGCTGATTCCCAAAATCCCTGAATGCTCTACAGCTGATAGCCCGATTGCAGGTTGTAGTCCTTGGGGTTTGTACTGGCAGTAGCAGACAACGATTGCCATGTCCTGCCATGTAGTAGAATCTTCGAAGTATCAATGTCATAAGCAAGGTATGAAAGGGGTCTTGGTGGAAGCTCCAAGGAGCCACAAGCTTCAAGGAGCCTGAAGCCAATCTAGAAAGCTCCTGGAGGTCTAAATCGGTTTAATGGTGATTGCAGACCGTGTCGTTTCATGGACAGTCTGCTTGCCCCCATTTTGACAACCTCAACAAAATCGCAAAGCACAATCCGCTTCTCACTGAGCCTGCAAGAGCCCTTGATTGACCACAGGACACCGAAAGTGATGAGCTGGCTGGGGCCCATGTTTGCATTACAGCCGAATGATGGAAATTCAGACCTCACTTTTCACGGTCCTGCACCAATTTTTCGTTCAGGGGTGCTCGCTGACGAGGTCGAAAATGATTCCGACGAGCCAGTGCAGGATGGTCAGCATGATGCGGAGAGAGTCGTGGTGATAGCAACACTGAAGTAGTGTGAAGTCATGTTGCACTCCGTCCCCCCCCCAAACAATTTCCGGATGTTTGCGCACCTTCTATAGGAAGGAACGGGGCCTGGGGATAGGGCGGGAGGGGTCAAGGGTAGATATTTTTTGGCTCCCTGGCAAGGCGGTGGGCTCCGGACCAAGCTGGGCAACCGAAAAATATACTAAAGCGCATGAGGGCAGCTCGTGGGCTACTCGCTTGGAGACTTGTTTGGGGCTTGCTTCGTAATGGAATTTTAAACGGAAATTTAAAATAAAACCCGGCTTCGGGAACTTCTGGAATCTGAAGCTGGAATCGCGCCAAGCCTGGCTTGAAGCTTGAGGGTCTAAGTTATAGGTTTTCCCGGCCTTCTTGTCCAAAACGATTTTTCTTTGGGGACACGAACTTCGCAGTTGCAGGCACTGTGGCCAAACCGAGTGCAACATTACTGTGGGGTCACTTGCTCTTCCTGAAGTTTTCGGTATTTCCACACGCGGCGGTAATTTTAACGCTACGCGACCCGCCTCGGCCCGGCCCAGCGCATCCGCGTGAGCATGGTGATTCCGCAGCGCCCAAGTCGCTGGACCCCAAGCAATAAGGGTTGGGTTTAGGGTTTAGGGTTCCGGGTTTATGGTTTAGGGTTGAGGGCTTAGGGCTCAAGGTTCACGGTTTGGGGTTTGGGTTTTTGGGTTCAGGGTTCAAGGTTGCTCAAACAAAAGCGGGGGCGGGGGGGGGGGGTGGAAGTGTAAGGGGGACGGGGGCGGGGCGGGGGAGGGGGGAAAGGGGCGGGAAAGACAACCTATACTCGGCGGATAGGAGGCTGCCCTGACCACCATTACTTGTTGTGGACAGTGGAAACTGTTCGAGTACGGGAGCTGAACGTGTTCCACACTAGTGCACACCCAAACATCCACTATATACTTGCCCACATCCGTCACACACCTTGAGTTCTACGTGCAGATCATGCGGTTGTAGTCTAGTGGCGGAAACCGGAAACCCTAAACCCTAAACCCCAAACCACATACCATTTCTGGCCTCTGTGGCTCGAATTCTAACCTAGGTGTGCAGGCACCACAATGATCATAAAACAGAACTAACATACCCGCACAAGTCGTATAGAAAGCTTGTTTTACTTATAAAGTGACGTGATATACAATTTTTGATCATACATATAAATAAATATAAATATAAATATATATATATACATATAATATATGATATTATCATTTACATTTACAAAAATGGCCTGCGCGAGAGCCTCCTGGAATCCTAGCCCAGAGCCAAAACACTGCAAAGCAATGAGCACCTAGTTGCATCCGGTCTGGATACCAAATCGAAAAGCTCCTCATATACTCGTTATACAGTTCCGGCTGTTGAGCATGAAAGGAGGGTTCAGGCTTTGACGCGAGTCCCGGACGCCCGGTACCCAAAGCCCAATGCGCGACCTACAGTAGCAGCATAAACGGAAAAGGTCAGGAGGCCTCATCCCCCGTGAGCTTACCAACCGACCGGCTGATTCCAGCAGAAAGCTGGACCCTTCGTTCATGTCGCTTACGGAACCGCAGCTTCTTTTCTGAGTCTGACTACAGTACACCTTGTGTTCTGTCCCTTCATGCTTCACATGCAGCGCATCTTCAATTGACCAAGGGCGGTACACTCTCAAATCCCAAAACCGAAACTTCTAGAATCCCTTCCCCTCCTAGGTGTCACTTTGCCACCTTGGACGCCCTATATTGCCTATCCGCAGCAGAAGCCCCCCAAAATGCGTGGAAATCAATACACCCGAACACCTGTACACCACGATATACGCCCGGTAATAAGTTCCCAACACGAACCACACGCTAAGTAGGACCCTTTCTTGGGTGGCCCAGTTTATGGCTAGGATCTGGTAATAAGACACAGGGATGGTGTTCCAAGCGCTTTCGTTCTGGGCCCAGGCTCGAGCACTGCTGCCATGTGTAATCTAACCATCAAACTTTGTTGCTGCATGCAAAGGCTGGGGGTCGCAGGGGTTAGGGGTTAAGGTTTAGGCTATGTTCGCGAGGTCTGCACCTTGTGCGATGCCGACCTATTGGAGCTGGCTGAAAGCTCAGCACGTCGACTTTCCAAACCCGGGAACCCGCATGTTGTAGGGCAGCCAGCCAGCGTGCGCAAAACTGGTGTTCGCTGAGGTCCGGCAACTGAGGATAGAGGCGGAGAAGGCCTGGCCACTGCATCGTGTAATGATGGCACTCTTTTGCCAGTTGAACTCTTGAGTGTTAAGCCTCGCACGGTTGGTGAGATCATCTCGAGTGTCGGGGCCTATGCTCAAGTGCCACCAGCGGTTTCTTGAGTGATCAGACGATTGCAAAACAAATCCAAAATATCTTCAGCCTCTAGTTCTCTATCTATATAAGGGATGTCTAGCCCGCCAACGCAGAGGCAAAGAGCCCCGAGGAGCAGAAGACGCGGGTGCCGCGTACGCCGGGGGTCTCAGGTACCAGAGTTGAGGTGTGTTGCCATGCGTTCCCAAGCTCAGCAGTGGCCCCCTCGCTTTCGTTTTTGTTGTTTTTTTTCTCTCTCTCTCTCTCTCTCTCTCTCTCTCTCTCTCTCTCTCTCTCTCTCTCTCTCTCTGCAGCTAAAGCTGCCACAGAGCCGCAACACGAACTTGGAAGCGGAGCGGAGCGGCGCGCTCTGCGTCCATGGCGCGCCTGCTCAGCAATGCGTTGTTGCAGCCCCCGTGATCGTGCGCAAGAACTGCGAACCTGGTAGTAACAGCGTGTAACATCACGTGACGTGTGCCCGTTCGTATCTTTTCTATCACGAGTTAAAAATTGTAATCATAAAGGCTTAGAATTTATTATTTTTTATCTGGATTAATCTTTGGAATCTCCGGAACATTAATATCAGTCCTTATAAGAATAGAATTATATTCATCAGGAAATAGGATTATATCTCCAGAAAACCAGAACTTCTATAATATAAGCATTACATTGCATGGCTTTCTTATGATCTTCTTTTTAGTAATGCATGGCTTGTTTGGAGGATTTGGAAATTATTTTGTACCTATCTTTCAAGGGTCTCCAGAAGTGGTATATCCTAGAGTCAATATTTTTTCTATCTTAATTTTTTTACTTTCATATCTTTTCCTAATCCTTTCTATAATCTCAGAATTTGGAGGTGGTACAGGATGAACATTTTTTCCACCATTATCCACTTCTTTTATGACTTTATCACCTTCAAGTACAGGAAATCTTATATTTGGATTATTAATCTCTGGTATATCTTCATGTCTTACATCTCTTAACTTTTGGACAACAATTCTAAATCTGAGATCTTATTATCTGACATTAAAGACTATCCCATTATTTCCTTGGGCTTTCTTGATTACAGCTTTCATGCTTTTATTAACATTACCAATCTTATCTGGTACACTTCTTTTAATATTGGGTGATCTTCATTCTAATACACTTTTCTTTGATCCTATATTTGGAGGAGATCCTATATTCTATCAACATTTATTTTGGTTTTTTGGACATCCAGAAGTTTACATCTTAATAATTCCTGCATGTGGGATCATTTCCATAAAAACTTCTGGGATTTTACAATTAATAATCTTTGGTAACCAATCAATGGTCTTTGCCATGTCATCTATTTCGCTTCTTGGAAGTCTTGTTTGGGGGCATCATATGTATACTGTAGGTTTAGAAAGTGATACAAGAGCTTATTTCACAGGAGTTACAATCTTAATATCCTTACCAACTGGTACAAAAATCTTTAATTGGCTTTTTACATATCTTGGAAATCCACCATTATTACACCTTAGAATGAGTTCTGTCTTCTTCTCACATCTCTTTTTATTAATGTTTACTATAGGCGGTTCTACAGGAATAATTCTTGGAAATGCTGCAGTAGATCTAGGATTACATGATACATATTATGTTGTAGCACATTTTCATTTTGTTCTTTCTTTAGGAGCTATAATTTTTATCTTCTCTGGAATACTTTTTAATGGAGAAAAGATTGTTGATTAGTGGTCTCACGCGCGGCAGACGCGTCAGACGCGGCTGCGTTACGTGCTTTGTTTTGCTCACGTTTTTTCACCATCATCTGAGGGTTTTGTGTGCCGTCCTGGGTTGGTTCTCAAACTCGTCAAGGCTTACGCTGTCCTGAGCATGCTACTCTAACAAGAACAAGTGTACCGCGGTTTTGCCTAGCCCTAGGCTGGGCTTGAAAGTAGCAAATGACTGTAGCGATTGAAAACTTCACACAGCAGCCGCATCGCGGGCTGCACCACGTGTGTGACCTCGTTACAGCAAGGTGCTGCGTATCCCGTGGTTTCGGATGCTGGTCATGAGCACGCTATGCTATCAAAGTTTGCACGTAGATTCTTCGACAGTGGCACATTCGAAGGCAACTAAACAACTTGACCTGACCCCACCGCCGACTAGTGACTATAGGCCAACCTCATGCCGGGCTTCTGCATGTCACACCGTTGGTGGCCGCGAAGTTTCTCCTCGCGAAGCTGCGCTGCAATGGAGCTGCCAAGCTGGCGGGTGCGGCCAAGCTGCAGTTGAACATTTTTCGTTTGATGAAACCAGAAGAAGATGCTTGCTCGTCTTCATGCATCACAGCTGCCATAGCAAACGTTCAACTATTCAACTTCGTGGTCGTATCTTTTTTTGCCCAAGGTGTTGCCGACGGGAAATGTCGCCAAGTACATGGCTGGGCCAGTGTTCGACCGGCGCCGTTTCATCATCGGCGACTTCTTCGTCGTGGACGTCGGCAGTACGGCTCCTTGCCCAGTCTCCAGCGTAATCTACACGCCAGAGTAGCGCGCAAGGGAAGGTGGGGTGGTCTTTGCCATGGTCCTACCAAGGGAGCGTCTTCTACCAAGGGAGGGTCTTTGTAGGGAAGGCGCATCCAGCCGAATACCTCAAAAACACAGCTGCTTCGCTCTGCCAGGATCTCACGCGCAAAGCAGAAGAATATCAGTTTCAGAATTTGGGGCCAGACAATAGCGCCTCATTCAGCTAGCCACATATCTGCAAAAGCAGCTGTATGAGCAGCCAAGGTCTCCACCCACAATCTCTCCCAAGGAAATGCCTTCAGTCTGGGAGGTGTCAAACCTGTGACAGGTTTGCCCCCGAAGTGGCCCATTACTAGTTGCTGCCACGAGCATGTCCAGCATGAGTGCAAAACAGCGCAAGGACGCACGGAGCATACGGAGCCAGGTAATTCTCGACGCTCAGATGCTGGTATCGCCTCCAAGATGAAGGTGTCTGCGGATCCCTTTTCGCGGATTGCTGACGCCTCCAACTATCGTGGGATAACGAGAACGCGCGAACTTTCACTGGCAATCTCTTGGTTACTTACACTCTCAATAAAGCTGCTGGACAGCACATGCCTGGAGTCCACAGGCGTGTCCGTGGTGGCGCATCTGGTGGTGACGGTGCAGGACGATGCAACCCGCTGTGGCTGCGGAAGGCAGCTTCATCAAGATAGCCTGGGTGGTTGGAAGCTGCGGTGCAGAAGAAGATGCACGGGTCTGGGATCAACATGCAAGACTTGTTCCCTGCTTTCCCTTTCACATCTCTGCAGAGCTGCTGGCGCCGCAGGAACGGCAGTCCTCCGCCACCGGTCGGGGCTGACTCCGTGGCCCTCGCCTCCGAAAACACCGTTCTCGCACCACTGCGCGCCGCTTCAGCCAATGCCGGAGCTCCCATGAGCTACTCAGAATGGCCTAGAAAGCTTGCGCGGGAAAGCAACACATGCTGTAAACTCGGACGCGGCCTGCCATGGCCGAGAGTCTCGGGCAGACAATGCAAAGTGTGCCTGGAAGTCCTTCGCTGGACGGGAGGGCCTTCTAGCGGATTGTATCTGATTCTCGACTGCTAGCAGCTAGCGGGAGTGGCGGCGCGTTTGGGCTTTTTATCGGATTACACAATGTGACACGCGATGTTGAGTTGTAACCTCTGACATCCTGCCAACATTCTCGCCTACTCCCGACTCTGTGCCACCGCCCAAAATACCTAAAGCCTTCAAAGGCATTCTCTACGTCTTTGCTGACTTTCCTCCACACCTGAGGCCAGCAGCAACAACAGTTGAGACTGCTGCAGTCTCCGCTGCAGAGCGTTCAGCCGCTTCACAAGGCAGGTCGGCTGCTGTTTCTACTCAGTCGCACAAGCCTTGGACACTGAAGGGCTTGGGTATCCATCTTATGTGCTTCGATGGTTTCATGCTTGACAGTGCTTTTTGAGAAAGTCAAAGCAAAGCAGAGCATTCTGCATACCAGTGCTGTCGGGTGCTTTCTGATTCTGCCCTAGAATGCTGCCAGGGCACTTGTCACGCGGCGCCTTGCGAGAGGGCCAAGGTGGCAGGGACGATGATGCGAGCTTTGGGAAGGTTAGGAGGCTAGAGGTCCAGGCATGTTGTGAGGTGGTAAAGATATTGCGAGTTTAGTTTTTCCTTGTCCTGTTATGTCCCGTTTCTTGCTGGTGGTTTAGCCTCATGCTGTTTCATTTTTACGATGCGCTCACTCACGAAACGGTCAGCAGTTGCGAACGGCTTTTTGCCTGCTTGCTAAAATTGGAACAAATCCTTCTGTCAGTTTTGGTCGGGGCCCCACCAGCCTCAGATGCTCCCAACTTGGGCTCAGGCCTTGCTATCCCCAGTTCATCCAAGAGACCTTGTGAGACCTTCGCTCCCTTCTCCCAGCAGGTTCTTCGTTCACCACCCACGCCGCCAGAGGCAAAGGTGCATAAAACGACAGATGTTTTGCCTTTCTAAGTGCACCTTGCATCGCTGCTTGTCTTGTTGCAGGCTAACCAGAATGCGGTGTCAGAGTTGAGGAGTGCTGCCATGCGTTCCCAAGCTCTGCAGTGGCCCCCTCGCTGTCGTTTTTTTGTTTTCTGTTTGTTTTTTTTCCTCTCTCTCTCTCTCTCTCTCTCTCTCTCTCTCTCTCTCTCTCTCTCTCATCGCGCATAACATTGTGTAATCCGATAGAAGCCCAAACGCGCCGCCGCTCCCGCTAGCTTCTAGCAATCGAATGAGTCACGCAGATACAATGATACAATTAGCTAGAAGTCCCTCCCGCCCAGCGAAGGACTTCCATGCCCGCTTTGCAACGTCTGCCCGAGACTCTCGGCCGAGTTTACAGCATGTGTTGCTCATGGCAGCTCCGGCATTGGCTGAAGCGGTGCGCAGTGGTGCGAGAACGGTGTTTTCGGAGGCGAGGGCCACGGAGTCAGCCCCGACCGGTGGCGGAGGACTGCCGTTCCTGCGGTGCCAGCAGCTCTGCAGAGATGAAGGGGGATATGATGGGGATATGAAAGGGAAAGCAGGGAACAAGTCCTGCATGTTGATCCCAGACCCGTGCATCTTCTTCTGCACCGCAGCTTCCAACCGCCCAGGCTATCTTGATGAAGCTGCCTTCCGCAGCCACAGCGGGTTGCATCGTCCCACACCGTCACCACCAGATGCGCCGCCACAGACACGCCTGTGGACTCCAGGCATGTGCTGTCCAGCAGCTTTATTGAGAGTGTTAGTAAGGATAGTAAAGCAGGCTTTTGGTGTGGTCATGCGCCAAGAGATTGCCAGTGAAAGTTCGCGCATTCTCGTTATCCCACGATAGTTGGAGGCGTCAGCAATCCGCGAAAAGGGCCTTCCGCAGCACCTGCCGCACATGATCCGCTGACACCTTCATCTTGGAGGCATCTCAGCGTCGAGAATTACCTGGCTCCGTATGCTCCGTGCGTCCTTGCGCTGTTTTGCACTCATGCTGGACATGCTCGTGGCAGCAACTAGTAATGGGCCACTTCGGGGGCAAGCCTGTCACAGGTTTGACACCTCCCAGACTGAAGGCATTTCCTTGGGAGAGATTGTGGGTGGAGACCTTGGCTGCTCATACAGCTGCTTTTGCAGATATGTGGCTAGCTGAATGAGGCGTTATTGTCTGGCCCCAAATTCTGAAACTGATATTCTTCTGCTTTGCGCGTGAGATCCTGGCAGAGCGAAGCAGCTGTGTTTTTGAGGTACTCGGCTGGGTGCGCCTTCCCTGTTGTAACCTCTGACTATCTAAAGCCTCAAAGGCATTCTCTACGTCTTTCCGTGATGCTTCTAACCGGAACCTGCCCGCCGAGGTCACGGTGGCACGTGGCCCATCGGCGTGGCTAAGGCGTGTGACCTCGCTTTACGCTTGTATTGCTGAGAGGTTCACGCGCTCTCTCCCTCTCTGCTTGTACTTCTCCTTCTCTCTCTCTCTCTCTCTCTCTCTCTCTCTCTCTCTTTTCTTTTTTTTCGTTTTCTCTCTTATTTCTCCCTCTCCCTCTCCCTCTCCCTCTCCCTCACGCTCCGAGAAACCCCATATGCCTTGAAGAACCTGCCTTACCTACTCTGCCCCCCAAGAAGAAGGCGTCCGCACATTCCAGGCGCCAAACACATCCAAGAGCTAAACTGCTCAATGCGGCTCCTACCAGGGAATCTGTGGCACGCCGGGCACGAGAAAAAAACTATAAACGGGGATGGGTAGAGTTTCTCCCCCTCAAACACCTGAGGGACTGGGGGCCTCGGCGGATAAATATGTGAAGTCGCGTTGCAGCCACAACTCCGATCGCCAGGGGCGCACGCAGCCGCGAAGCATCCCAGGCTTGGATGTAAGGTTGAGGGCGTGTAGGGTTTAGGAAGTATAGGAAGTTTAGGAAGTCTTAGACTTTGGATTGAGGATTGAAATCTTTATCCAGATTCGGTAGATGTAGAAGGATGTAGAAGGTTACGATCGTAGAACTTCCGTAGGACCTGCGACGGCCTACGTTCATTGCCAGTGGGAGCGTGCCGCGTTTGCCAGCGTTCTTGTATCGATTGTGGCCTTATAAGCGCATACAACCGAAAGCTGACTCCCAGGTGCAGGGTTCCCCTTTATTTTCGTAATCCGGCACATTTTGGATGCACTGGGCTCACAAAGGATCGCACAGGGTCCGGGTGCGCTTCTGAGAAATAAAAACTTGGGCCTTCCCTCATTGATTATAAGGCACACATGGAACACAGCAGCAGAGCTTTGTAGCAGGTTCTTGTCAGCTTTTTAGTACGACTCGACGACGAGGAATGGGCTGGAAATATGCCCAGAGGGCCCCGATTGTTTCATCGAGGGCGTAAGGCCAAGGCATCAGCAATGCACCTAAATACATTCTAAGCAACTTAAGTTTGCTTGAATGCTTCCCAGCGCTTCCTCGCCACCCTCAAGTGGGCAAGCACCCCGTGGTTTTGAGGCCAGAGCTCAGCAGCTGGAGGTGCTCAGCTCGGGCAAGAACTGTTTAGGGTCCTAACTTTCTTATGCTCTCCTTTTGCCGGATGTAGATGTACTTGGACCTTGGAAATGGTCAAGGTGTCGCTTGTTTCGAAATGTTGGTTGTGCACCATGATTACTTCGGTTTTTGAAGGGGCAAGACGTTGATCGTTTAAGAAATGCGTTCAAGTCCGGCGTCCGCAAACGCTCGCGAAATGCAGATCCGGAACAGCCAAACCCTAAGCGCCTAAACCCCAGCCACACCGCCACCGCGGTCAAAATGCAACATGATGCTCCAGTCGACTCTGCAACAGCTTTGCAGAGCAGTAGTAGAGTCTACCCGGCACGGCGCTGTTGCAACAGCAAGCTTTGCAGAGTGCCTTGTTGAGCTTAGGGGGCCTCGGGCTTCAGGTTCTTAGGGGCCGTGCGGATGAGTGTTGCGGACGAATCGGACGCGCAGGCTCCAGGACACCTTTGTGCTGTCCATCAAGCCTTCGCTGCTTCTGGAAGTGAAGCTCAGATGAGCGTGTACCCAGAGGAACGGGACACATGCAGAAATATGCAGAACATGATGCAGAAAAACGTGAATGCAAGCAACGATGGTTACAGGAGTACGTGGAACTCTTCGAGCGCGATCCCAGGGGCTGGACTCTGGGTCGCAAGGCGCTGTGGCCGTGGCGAGACCGTTTTGGAGACACCCTTGAATCATCTCATGTTGCAGGTGGATGCGGCGGGACGTATGGTGGCTCAAGGATGGTTCCCAGACTGGGTCCCGCGCCAAGTTTCAAGTTTCTTGCAACATGTGCAGCTGCTGTGCAGCAGCAGCAGCAGCAGCAGCATGAGCAGCATGCGATACCAGGTTTGCAATCCTGCGCTATGTGGCTGCAGTTGTGCATGATTGTGCCAGCAAGCGTTACCAGCACAAGGCCGTGAAGCGCGCTTGAATCCTTGAGGCGTCGCTTCGTACCGCTGGCATGTGCCGACTGAGACCAACATTTCCAGCTCGCAAGCTCTGGGGCCTGCCAATGCCTGCCAGGCATCTCACCTTTTTCCAAGCTGTGGTACATGGCTTCGCACGCACGGTGTTCGGGGCTGAGATTGGCATGAGGCATTAATTCGGATCCATTGCAGATCCTGACTCAGGGTGTGATTCCACGTTGTCACTTGTGACTGGGTGGGCAGATGCTGTGACTATGGCATCGGCAACGCTGACCATGCCGAAAAGTGAAGGCCTTACATTTGTTGGGCCCCATCGTCAATTGGGCTCCTTTGCTTCTTTCCACCATTTATCTTGTAGATTGGCCACCCTGGATTACAGTCTCTCTTAGTCCCGCCTGCCCTTTGCCATTTGGTTGCCTGTAGAAGTGTCATCTTTTTACAATTTACCCGCTTCAGAGACCAAGCTTGACCCCCTCCCAAGCCAGATCTCACTCGGATTGCACAAGCCTACCAACCTATCATAGTTTGGCTTGTGGTGGGCTTATGAATTTCTAGGTGATTGTGATTGATAGAAAATAAGGAAATTATTTAGGTGCAGGGAGACTTATCCACATAAAAGGCTACGGGCTCGACCCTATTTTCGCTTTGCGGCCGCCCTGTCGGTTGACTCGCCTCCTCTTCCGGTCAATTTGGCTGCTTGTGAGGGCCTTGCAGGGGGATCCGGAAAATTCCGGGAAATTTCTAGTTTTTTGTATAAAAATCCTTGGAATTTTGATTGAGGTTCAGGCTTTCTGGGTTGGATTTAAGGTTCCAGCGCAACAGTGATGATGTGGGTGCCGCTTCACTTTCAAGGAAATCTTCAAGGAAATCTCGTGGTCTAGGGTAGTTCCGATGACGGTCGCCGCCCGTCAATTGTTCAAGGGGGCTCGGCCTCACGATCACATATCAGCAACAACTCTCGAAAAATTCTAGGAATGTAAAATTCCGGGAATTTTCGGGATCCCCCTCCCAAGTGGGAGGGGCTGGAGCTGAAGGATTGAGGGGGCCGAGGGCTTGGATTTGGGGTTGTGGTTGAGGGATTGGGATTTGAGGAGTTAGGATTGAGAGGTTGAGGAAGATTTGATTAAGATGTTTAGGGTTTGGGGAGGAACGCTTGAAGGGAGGAAATCTTGGAGGGAGGGATTTTTGATGTTATTGAGAGGTTATTGAGGGATTATTGTAGGGTTATTGAGGAATTATTGATGATTGTGAGGTTTCTTGTATTTTTGTGGGATTTATGGGATTGTTGTCTCTGAATATAAGGGAAATTTATAATATTTTCTGTCGGTTTCAATGATACTATCTTTCATTTAGGAATTGAAGGAGGGACTTTAATAAGGTACTATGTAAATCGAATTATGGTGCAAGATTATAGATTTTAAGCGGCTTTTTGCCGGATGATAAGAATTATCGAATAATTGATATATTAATCTCGGCATCCCTTAGCCTTCGGCAAAATTCTTGGTCTAAGTATCTTCGAGTTGTGTTGGATGAGGCGATGATTAGTTTTTTTCAATATTTTTTCATGGGTTTCGAGCTGCTACGATATATATTATGCCATCTTTGTGTGTGCTAATATGCCCATTGTGTGTGGTTATCGTTGCGAGTTGCGAGGAGATTAATTTTGATTTCGAATTTAATGTAGTTTGGGCGGTCGTGAATAAGGGGCTTGGGATGTGTTAGCTAATTTGTGCGATCGGCTCTACGATTGTCGTCGGCATGGGGTGGAATCTTCTTTTTAGGAATGCCTGGATCATTTGAATTTCGATTTATA